TCATTCTCTTCTAGACATTTACTTTCCATTTGAGCCCTCGGTACCAGCTCTTTTTTTTCTCCCTCCTCCTCTGCCAGCCTCATAACCCCCCGGATAGATTGTACATTGTTATTATTTTCATCTCTCACACCGACCGCTGTCTCCCTTCCTCCATGTTTTCTGTTGTTCTTCCTGCTGTAGAGGGGTGTATGGTTATGTGTCAGTCATTGCGATCGGTTCCCCTTTTCTTTCTTTTTTAAAAAAATCATTTTATTAGGATCATTCTTTGGAGTCTTGGATTTTGTTTGCAAATTGTCAAATATAAATAAAACTTGAGTCACTGAGTGGCGCAAATAGCCCCCTTCATATCTGTAAAACTGAATTTAAAGAATTTGTCTGACGTCTTCTGGAAAATTGAAGTAATTAAAGAAAATTCCTTACAATTATAGAATTGCAATGATCTGAAAATTTTAAATTACTTTGCTAAATAATGAAATGTAAAGATAATGTACTGAATTAATCATAATGACCAATCCTTCTGGACCATTGCAGTTTATACTCTGATGCTTTTCTACCTTCTTGATGTATATAGAAATTTTCTTTAAAGTATTTTATATTACTAATTAGCCAAAACCTTTATATTTAAGACTTAAATTAAAAATTCCTACCGTACATACTCCTGTATAAGCTGAGTTTTTCAGTACATTTTTAATGCAGTTTTTGTGGTAAAATTAGGTCAGCTGATACTCGGGTCAGCTTATATTTGAGTATATACGGTAAGTTAACAAGAGATTCAGACTTGGTTTATTGAATTATAATGCAGATTTTTAATTTTTAGGAGTAACTTCCTACTTCACTAATGAACCAAACATTGATTAAACTGGATCATTTGTATTCAGGGTTTACCTTTAAAAGCCTAAGACAGTTTTTTTTCTTATTATAGCAAAAATGGCTTATTTGGTTGGTCTATTTTTTTAATTGGAATAAAGTTGAAGTTGGTTAGGGAGGCTAACTTGTATAACTTCTGTTGCCATGTGAACCTTTAATTAATGGTTCTTGTTTATTTTCAAATGTAAATGCTATTTCATAGTCTCTAAAACCCAGTGGCTCAAGTAAAATCCATAATCACATTGAATATTTGTTTTTGTTGTTGAGAGAGGGTTGTGTTTCTGTCTCTCGGGCTGGGAGTGTGTGTTTGAATACATGCGTGCACATTTGCACACAGGTAAAGTAGATCTTAAAAATTATTCTTGCTCATTTGAGTGTGAACATTTTTATATTTAAGAAACTGCAAAAAATATTGTAACGGGAAATTCAAACCACTGACTAGATTAATGAGCAAGTAAATCTCCTCTGGAAACTTAAACTGACTGGTTCTCAAAGTTCACAGCAGCCTCACCTGGGGACTTACAAGAAATGCAAATTCTCCCATCTTGCCCTAGACCTTTTGAATTAGAAATTCTGAACCTGAACAGGCTGAATTTTAAGTGTGGTGAACAAAAATGGGAAAGAGAAAATTCCCTAATGAAGCCTTGGGTGAGGGGTCCAGCACTCTTGAACAAACTTTACAGGTGATTCTGTTGCCCACTAAAATCTGAGAACTGGGCAATGAATGTACAAATGTGCTCTACACAATTGTTGTATGTATGGATTGTGATGAGTTGTATGAGCCCCCAATAAAATGATTAAAAAAAAATGTCAAAGAAGAAGAAAAAAATCTGAGAACTACTTAAAAGCAGAGAGAAGTTAGGTGGGGGTTGGGAATCAGAGAGAGTGAACATCTGCTTGTAATTGGCTGTAGCAATAAAATAAAAATCCTTCTTCCTATCACGGAATAGGCTTAGTTTGATTTTGATACCACAACTTTTAAGATCATCAAAAATATGGTGTAAGTGCTTCTTAGTTAAGTTTTCATCTCTCTTTGTAAAAGTGCATTTGCTGTGTTCATTTCCGTTGAAAAATGGTTACCAGCCAGATTTTTTTTTAAGTGTGTAAGGCTATTGTAAGGATTTCTTTCAGAAGTAGATTTCGATTATGATAAATTACAATGTAGCAAAATAAAATTATACACTATAGTATTAAAAATGTGATGTTGAACTTTTAGTTGGAAATATTTTTTGGCTTTAGAATTGTTGCGAGGGGGAAGAAATATTGGGGGGGAAACGACTTTCAAGACAACATGAAACTTAATTACGGTGTATATATTTTTAAACTTACAACAGAAATGTTGTCTTTTGTAGCAGATGGTCAACATTGCTTCTGGTGTCCACTTTTCCAGGAAATGAGTCCTGTCTGCAGCAGGAGGAGTGCTGACCTTTAATATGCATCCTAGTCACTTCTCTCAGTTCTCTGCCAATCTACTACTACTACTACTACTACTACTACTAGTAGTAGTAGTAGTAGATATACCCTAGTGTTAATTCATTTGAAAGTACATGCTAGCCAGATTGTTTATTTCTGGAGCTTTAAGCTTTTGAAGATAGAAGGTTGTGCATTTCTAAAACTGAAATTAAATTTGTCCAAATTTTCTAGTGAGTGGGAAGCCAATTCTTGATTTAAGTTAAATGATTAAGGGTGGTCCCAGGACAAACAGCATCATCATTACTTGGGAACTTGTTAGAAATGTAACATCTGACACTTCCCTCTCCCACCCTACATTCCTATGTACCAAACCCCACATCTTTGAAGTGCAGCCAGCAATCTGCTTTATCAAACCTCCAGGTCCCTGCTAAAATTTGATTACCATTGAGTTAAGGATTAGTTTTATTGCTTTCACAGGGAAGCAGGGCAAGGTAAGATTACTTGTGCCCTCCTAGGAAACCTGACCAAATTGGGGAGGGGGGAGCGCGGGACCAAAAAAAGAACCAGAAAGCCTTGGTTTTAGTCCAGTGCTATCACTTCTTTTAAAATATTTGGTGAACTTCAATTTCTTGATTTGTGAAATGATAAAAAGCACGGAAATCATAGACCAGTTCTTACATAGATTATGTGCTCAGTAAATATTCATTTTAAAACCCACACACCTTAGAATTAGCACACTTCTTGGAGGAGAATTGTCACTTCCCATGAAAGACAAAAGTAATAATAAATAGGGAAGTTTTCTTTTGATCACCGCTAGAATCTTTTCAGAATTTCCAAGTTACTGTCAGTAATTGCATATGCTTGAAGATAGTCATGAAAACTTTTCATCCTCGAACATCTGTCTACAGATTTCCCTACTTTGTGTAAGTGCTTTACATACTCATTAAAAGTTTGATAGGTAGTACATTAAATAAGTTATTATTGAATTTTTATAAGTTACTGTAAGTTATTCAATGAAGGAAAATTCTCAGTCCCATCTCTGCCCACAATTGCTCCATTTGTTCCTAGACCGTAAATAATCAATTGTTTGCTTTGTGTTTCCTTTTAGAATTTCATAATTCAACTATAAATAAATATAATTGGTTGTTTTTCCCTTACCAAAAAAGATAGCACATTATACTCTCTGTCTCACATCATACCTTTTTTTCCCTCCACTAATATTTAAAATTATATATGTCTTATCACTTAGGAAGCCACATGGTCCTTTTTTTCTTCATCAATGACATTGAAGAATACTTCATGTACACTAAATTGCCTCTAATGTAAATATTTAATTTGATGAGTTTTGATAGTTGTATTCCATAATTAAGACACAGCATGCTTTTGTGAATATAGGTTAAAAATATTTCATTATCTGATATACCATAATTTGTTTTTGTTTGTCCAGCCCTGTGCATTTTTTTAAAAAATAATTTTATTGGGTGCTCATACAACTCATCACAATCCATACATACATCAATTGTATAAAGCACATTTGTACATTTGTTACCCTCATCATTCTCAAAACATTTGCTCTCCACGTAAGCCGCTGGCATCAGCTCCTCATTTTCCTCACTCCCTCCCCACTCTCCCCTCCCTCAGGAACTCTTGATAATTTATAAATTATTATTTTGTCATATCTTGCACTGTCCAATGTCTCCCTTCACCCACTTTTCTGTTGTCCGCTGCCCAGGGAGGAGGTTATATGTAGATCCTTATAATCGGTTCCCCCTTTCCACCCCACCCTTCCTCCCTTCTCCCAGTATTGCCACTCTCACCACTGGTCCTGAATGGATCATTTGTCCTGGATTCCCTGTGTTTCCAGTTCCTATCTGTACCAGTATACATCCTCTGATCTAGCCAGATTTGTAAGGTAGAATTGGGATCATGATAGTGGGTGTGGAGGAAGCATTTAGGAACTAGAGGAAAGTTGTATGTTTCATCATTGCTACACTGCACCCTGACTGGCTCATCTCCTGCCCATGACCCTTCTGTAAGGGGATGTCCAGTTGCCTACAGATGGGCTTTGGATCCCCACTGTGCACTCCCCTTCATTCACAATGATATGATTTTTTTGTTTATAATTTTTATAGACAGCTTTCTCAATGGACACTTAACTGCTGATATAAGCAAGTCTGCTGTTTTTTCATGTAATATTTTATACAGTATTTCATAAGTAGATAGGTACATCTGATGATAAATTCTCAGGTGTGGGATTGTTGAATCAAAGGAGAACTACATTTGTAACTAAATAGATATTGACAATTTGCCTTTCGCAAGAATAGTACCAGGTTGAGCTTTTGAATCTGTTAATGTATGAGTTTGCCTTTTTCCCCATAGTTTAGCTGACAGAGTATATTATGAAACTTTAGATTTTTTCCAGTTAATTGGAAAATGGCATTTCAGGATAGTTGTAAATTGTCGTTTTCTTATTGAGTGAAATTCAACATTTACTTTTGGTCAAGGATGGGTCATTTGTATTTCCTTTTCTTAGGAGAATTAACCATTTTAGCTCATTCTTGTGTTTTTTCCCCCTCCAGACTGCTGTTGGCTTTGGATACTGTAAAACTAGTAGTTGAAGGAGGCAACTAATTTTTTGCTTTTTAAGATTTTCTTCCTAAAAATTTCTTGGCTTTGATTTCTTTCCTTTCTTCTTTTTTTCCTCTTTTTCTCTTCTTCCCTCATAGCTTAATTTCTTATAAAAGGATGTTTAGGAACAGCTCAAGATGTTTTGTTGTTGAACAATAATAAATGCAATAAGTGAATGTCGTTAAGTGGCTGTAGTATATATGACCCTCGTTCATCTGTTTTGAAGGCCATGTATTTGGTATACTGCGCACTGGAGAAGGAACCTGTGCCAATGTCCCTGCCTCCAGCCTTGGTGCCACCTTCTAAAAGAAAAACGGTCAGTATATCAGGCTCAATGAGGTTGACCCCCTCTTCAGCACCAACCAAGGAACCTTACTACTCCTTGCCACCTGTAGGCATTTTACCTACCAAAGCACCATTAAGACAGGTATAGATTTATCAGTGTTTAAGGATTTTATTCTTTTTAACCAAGTGCATGGTATTTAACAGTTGATTACTTGATAAAGATAGAAGGAACAATTAAAGAGTTAAAGCATTCTCTGGTTGAGCCTACTTAAGAGAAAATGGTCCAGAGAAAATGGATACCCCTGTATTTAGCCTAGGTCATATGGATTGGTTCTTTGGCTTTGCCTTAATCTTCCTGGAACTAAAGTTGGGGATGGAGGATGCTTCATGCTAACACAGCATGTTTGCCTTGACTCAGTTAATAGAGTTTTTGTTTAATCTCTAGTTAACTCTTGATTCTTTGAAGTCAGATTACTAACTTTGCATTGCCCCAAGCTTTTTCTGTTTAATCTACGCCTTACCAAGTTGAGTAAAAGAAAATAATGATAGCATATACAAATTGGCCACCTTAGTTATAGTCAAAATTTGGGGGAGCCGAAACTACAAAAAATTAAGATTAAGGATTATCTCAATAGTTTATATATACTGACTCTCCCAGTTACCAATATTAAAGTGGGCATTCATAAGTCAAGAGTTAACTCTGTTTCAATTTACACATTATTAAAAAAAAGTAAAAAGGGCATCTTATAAATATAATTCCAACACTGATATTTTTCTTCACAAAGCATTTTGATTGGAGTGTGATAGAAGTAATATACTGTTGCTGTAGTTCAGTGGTTCTCAACCTGGGGGTCAAACGACCCTTTCTCAGGGGTCGCCTGAATCATAACAGTAGTAAAATGACAGTGATGAAGTAGCCACGAAAATAATGTTCTGGTTGGGAGTCACCATAACATGAAGCACCGTGTTACAGGATTGTGCCATGAGGAAGGCTGAGACCCGCTGCTCTGGAGGGCAATGATGTTGCTGTTGTTTGGCTCATCGAGTTGTCTCCAACCCTTTGCCCGTCCCATGTGCACAACAAAACCAAGCACTGCCTAGGCCTGAACTACCCTCAGAATTTTTATGTCCAAGCCCATAGTTGCAGCCACCGTGTCAATCTATAGATAGGAATGTAGGATTGTTTAGAATTTGTGTTAGATACTGTCATGGATTGAAAGAATAACACTTCCAGGTTTGCTTCATTTAGCAGAAAAATGTTTTTTGTTTTGTTTTGCCTTTTCTTTCCTGTAGTGGGTTGTAGCCCCTGCAGAAAAAGCTAAATATGATGAAATCTTTATGAAAACTGATAAGGATATGGATGGATTTGTATCTGGATTAGAGGTCCGTGAAATTTTTCTGAAGACAGGTTTACCTTCTGCCTTACTAGCCCGTATTTGGTAAGAATATACTTTAATTGATTTTTTAAACTATCATTTTGTTTTAATTCTAGCTTTATGCCTTCCTTTAAAATCATTTATAAATAAAACAGTTTTGTTTCAGAATTCTTTTCTTTGTTGATAATGTAAATGTGAAGGTTTCTTTTAGGTAATCGACAAAGGTTTGCCAATGATTTACTTGATAAAAGCGTCACTGTGGGTCATCTGAAGTTTTCTATTGGCGAGAGTGTCAGTTAATTATTATTACAATGTTACAATGTCACATCTGTTTATTTTAATTAAACTTACATTTTTTTAAGCTTACATTTTAAAGAGAGAATCCAAATATCTGAAATATGAACAAAATAGAAAACAATACCTTCAAGGCATACTTAATTCTGTATGTATACTTTTACACCTTTGCAATGGCAATAGTTTTAATTAGTCCTTAAAGAAGACAAACCATAGTGTCTTTAATGAATTTCCCATTAAATGAGATAATGTATATGTATTGTGTACCTATTGTCAGTATACTGAACTATACCAGAGGTTATCTGGCGGTTTTCAAGGAGCAACAAACACCAGAAGAGGAAGTGCCTACATGGAAAGAGCAGATTAGAAAAAGAACAGAAAAAGACAGTAGATCTGACTTACTCTCTTGGGAATAAGAACCCAAGAGAGATAAAAATTAAATATGTATAACTAGTAGTAGCTGCCACTCTTGAGCCACCTATACAAATCTAAAAACAATGCTCAATAAACAGCAGCAGATGCAAGCTTAGTTTTATGCCCAGACTCTTATGTGCATTGGCTTCTGGTGGTGACTACAGAATGGATATTTTCATCTCCACCTTATAGATGAGGAAACTGAGACTGATTAAAATTTTGGTCAGGGTCACAAGAAAAGAACTAAGTGGAAAAGTTGGAATTCGGGCTTATTTGATACCGCAGTCCATACCTAGTGTTTTCATCAAGCCCCATTGGCTCTCAGTGAGTCAAAGATTGGGACTTCAGAAAGCTGAGATTAAGAAAGGAAGAGAATGCAAATGTAATACAACATTTGCTGTTTTTTGTGATTTTGTAAACCGTTCCAGACTACTGCCTTCTCCTCACATGTGATCTCCATTTTCAGCTGTTGTTTCTGCTTTGGCTTGGTGATCCATACATCCTCCTACTCCAAGAGTTGCAGGAAGCAAGCTGACGTGGACATTTTTGCTTGTCTTAGAATCGTTCTAGTGCTACCAGTGATGCCAAATTTGCTGAGACTTGAGCTTCACCTCTAACATCTTTTAATGTTGAAAATGTTAAGAGTACGGAATGCTGAGATTGCTTTGGCTCACCATGACTCTTACTCTGCAGTGGTTCTGGAAATGGGTCAAAGAGCACACGGTAAACCCAGAATGGAGTTGACCCCGCTCAGCACCAGAGGAGGCACTCTGTTTTCACCATTTTACGTCTTCTCAAGTTTGGGTGAATTTCGGGCAAGCTGCAATTTGATGTGTTTTTTCTCTTTAAATTCAACTGGACATTTAAAAAACGATTCAACAAAATCAAATTGCTATTCCCTGAATTTTTAGAATGGTACTTGTGGTATTTATATACTATTCATTTGTTTATTTTCACAGGGCATTATGTGACACAAAGGACTGTGGGAAGCTTTCAAAGGATCAGTTTGCCTTGGCTTTTCATTTAATCAATCAAAAGTTAATAAAGGGCATTGATCCTCCTCAGAGTCTTACCCCTGAGATGATCCCTCCATCAGATAGGGCCAATTTACAAAAGGTAAGACAGCTTTTTATAAAAACCTGAATGCATTATCAGAAGGGAAGTACAAGTGCTATTCAAATGGACAGACTTATCAATATACTGTGTGATTTAGGTTGCGCCTGTAAGTATGCTCAAATGCCTTGTATGACATCCTTGGGCTGCAGCTTGTTTGCCCCACCATTTATTACACATATGGCAATCATATTTTCCAATCTTAAAATTGGAAAAATGTGTGGCATGATTTTTCCTCTCCTGGATTTTTCCATTAATTTTAATGAGTACAGTGTAAAAATTAACTGAAAGCAATGATAAATTGCTGTGTTTTGTTTGATGATTCATTTTTACTAAAAACACTAAAAATTAGGAAACAAAATCTAGGATGAGGATGATTGGTTACTGTCAATTGCATGTCAAAAAAGCCCCTATGGGACAAAAAACACAAAAAAGTTCTGACTTGTTTGTTGAGGGTGAATCTGTGATTTTTGCTACAGATGGCCCGCTATTCCTGAGCATATAATGAGTGCATAGCAGGAGAGCTAGAAACAACTTTTTAACCATTTTTAATTTCTAGGCAGCAGTGAGAATTTCAGAACTACATTGTTTTAGCCACCCAGTGCCCTGATTTTCCTTTTTCACCTAGAAATCCTTTTTCATATAGTGCACTTACAACATCTTGGCCTTTAATAGAACTTTTAAAAGGACTTTCATACTCTAGTGGCCTTTGCCTTTGAAAATAAATACTTCATGTCTTTAAGTTTCTAGTGGCCTATAAATTCAATCTGTTGTTTGTTTTGTTTTGAATAGTTTTGTTGGCTTATAACTCATATATCATACAATTCACTGTTTCATTATATCGAAAAACAGTTGTACAGTCATTGCCACAATCAAATTTAGAACATTTTCTTCTTACTTGTACTCATTGCTATCAACTCCCCATATCCTCCCAACCCTACCTGCAGTACCCCAAGAAACCATTAATCCAGGTACTATCTCCATCCAGAGACTTATCTATTTTGGATTTCCTATACAGAAAAACATTACAAAAACAATGTGAAACAAAACACTAATAACAAAGTAAAACAGAAAAACCTCAATTGGAAAGAAAGAAGCGGAAAGTATTAAAACCTAGAACAAATTAAAAATGGATGAAAAGGCAGATCAAATGAAAGTGCCCAGCTTTAACCTGCCTCTGCAGTAATCCCCTTCTCACATCGCTGGTACGCGACCTCAGGGGAAAGTCCATAGTTGGGGTTAATACTTGGTTGTTAAATAAAGTTGTCAAATATATAGTATGAAGTGGGCTGTCTTTAAAACATCAGTACAATATTTGGGTTTTGTGTTAGTTTTGTCAAAATAGGTTTAAAAAAATCCCATCTTAATCTGAAAACAATCAAAATTGGATTTTTTCTAAGTAAACTAAGTAGGAATCTAAAGCTATTTTTAATAATTTGTATTTAAGTATATACTATATTTGCAGATAATATAACGAATGCTTTGTGAGATTTTTTTTTTTCTTTTGAGAGGAGAAAGGTACATTTTGTGAATTTTTGAGATTTCCTGTCATGCAGAATGTGGGTTCCATAATTTGAGGAGAAGGCAGAAAATTATACTACCCTGAAAGAAATATGTTACAAAATTTGTATTTATGCCTTTTGCTGTAACTGTATTTCAGTATGGAATGTTGAGTTGTTTCAGCCTTTCAGGCTTTTAAAATTTTGCCTTCTTCATTATAAAACCCAGAGACCCCATCAACACAAATTACAGAAAAAGCAGAAATTTCTGAAACGAATTATGTTTGTTCATATTAGTAGTAGACACTTTAAATTGTATTCTGCTCTACAGAGGTTTTTTAAATAGAGTTTTTAATGTAGTTGATTTGTCTGAAGCCTGTTCACTAGAGCATGGACACCTTTGTCTATTTATGCCAGATATCAATGTTATTTATTAAATGGCATTTTATCACATTCTCTTATCTATTAACCAAAAATTTTAACCTTAAATAGTAAAACTTGCCTTTGTTTTGTCTTTCAGATAATCTCTTTCTTCTTTATTATCTGGTTTTGTTTTTTTCAAAGTACTGCATATTTTGCAACTTGACTAATTTTTTTTTTTGAATATTCCTTTCCTTTCTGTGTTTTTTCTAGTTTGGACTATTTTTTCCATTCTACAGCACTCTGCTTTTCGCCTTTCTTGTACTGTCAGTTTCTTAATGCTACCCTCTCTCAAGGTTAGAGCTTTACTTTATGAATTTTTTAGCATTAATGCTTTTTGGTTTACAAGGTGCATTTTGAAATAAAGGTTTTTGGGTAGCAAACTTGAAGAAGAAATATGTAAAGAGCATGCTGTTGTTACATATCGCTTGGTGCTTTTGTGCAATGTAGTTTGCCTCTTGCAGGCTCACTGCTCCACTTAAAACCATCAAAGTGGAATTTTTTGTGTAATATATACAGCAGGCTAGAGAAAATGATTTGAGAGAAGGGGACATGTTACTTTTTCATTTCTATATCTTGAATTTACCCTTCATATACTTAGTGAAACATTTGCCATGCTTCTTGGTGGCTTGCCATTTTATTGCTGTAGTGCGCGAGTTTAATTTTTGTGTCAGCAATTGAGGAATGACACAAGTTGTACCAACTACAGCAAACTAATTTTATGTGTTGAATTTGTTGAGGATTAGCCTTCTAACTTGTTTGAATTTAAGCTAATTTGTCATCTTATTTAATGATATTTTTAATAGTGAAAGACTGTCAAATGTGAGTCACAGGTTTTTTTTGAGTTAGAGTGACAGAAGAGGTGTGGAAGTCAGGAGTTTCTTGGTTCTCTTGCACCTCTGCAAATGTCTCAGCAGCATTTAAATGGTGTAAGTCACTCATGGTGATGAAAGTGAGACCAAGTGCTAATTTTTCATTTTGTTCACTTAACTGTCTGGCCAGCGTTAGCTCCTCGGGCAAGCTTTAAAAAAAATTATTTGCTATAAAGTCAATACCACACACGGTAAGTCTAGGTAGTGTTAAAATGTAGTTAATATCTTTCACATTCAAAAATCTACTTTTAACATTTCTAATTTAATTTCACATTGGAATACAATAAAAAGCAGTAAGAGAAGGAAATTTGATACAGATCTGTAATTAATATAAAATTAAGAAAACAATTCAATCCCAATACATGAGTTTTTGAGACTACACATCTTTATGGGAGTAAAAAAATTTCATTTTCCCCCCAATGTAGCGGCTGGTGGCTGCAAATTGTTGACTTTGTAGTTAGCAGCCCAAGGAGAACCACTGTCACCAGGGCTCTAACTTTAGCTAAATAGGCTTCTCAAGATGTCTCACAAAGGAGTAAGTCAAGGTGGCAGCAACTCATTGGGACACCATTGTCTTTTAAGAGTCCATTCTGTTGAGGAGGATAATTGTAACAACGAACGAGAACCTAACCAAACTCACTGCCATGGAGTCAATTCAGATTAATGACGACCCTGTAGGACAGGATAGAACTCCCCCTATGGATTGTGGAGCTGTAATTCTTATCTCTCTCCTGCAAAGTGGCCAGTGGTTTGAACTGCTGACCTTGTGGTTAGCTCAGTGTGTACCCACTATGCACCAGGAATTTTAACCCAATAGCTTATATTTATAAAATATCATGAAGTTTGCAGAATAGTTTTATATATATTATTTAATTCATTAAGTGGTCAGGCAGAGATTATTTACCTATTTTACAGGTAAAGACCACACAATTTGGTAAAATAGCAGAATCCAGAATAAACCCAGCAAGATTTTCTACCTACAAGTACTGTTTTCAAGGATAAATTTTGGCACCTTCATTTATTTAAAAAGCCATATGTAAAGGACATCATATAGGAAGATATTGCATATGT